AGACCAGTTCTCGGGCTTATTATCCGGTCTTACAAAGCACGTCCGGACGCGTCGGGCTGCGCAAATGCAGTAGCATAAGACTAAAGTAATGATAGGAAAAACTAGCACAAACTAGAGATTCGGTAGTCTGGCGTAAATCGGGTCTAAGTGCCAGTAACAGTTCCCTTAAATACAGGCCAAGTTCGCAAGGTAGCGAATGTGGGAAGAATCTATTTATCAGCAGTTCATGTTTGCCATGTTACAGTGCCGTCCACGGACTTGGCAGCATCCTATAGGGTAATGAGTTTCGGACCTCCAATTTTCGTATCCTTTTGGCCCTTCCGATGCTTGTGTAACTATTGAGTTGGCAGACACAATGAGCCACTTCTTTACAACTAATCTTCAAAGAAGACACGTCCACTATCCACCTATCGGAAACGCAAATGGTAGCCATCGGCTGGTTTCGCAACCCCGATGCTGTGGAAGGAGTGGACTTTCCGATCGAAAAGGCCTCTCGCCTCCTCTCCCTCCTGATAAATGGAGCCTGACGACGCGTTTGACGCCTCATCTCTGTCCTCCCAACCACTATTAACACGGAACTCGCGGCTATGAAGTACTAACCTAGTACGCATTTTATGGAAATCAGTCAAACCTCGCGAATGGCTGCGACTAAATAAGGGTTATTGGAGCCAAATCAACATGCACACGTTCTGGTCCATAACAAGTGCCCCGACTTCCGCTATGATGTTCGCCAACGTTAAATCCTGTCACTTGTGCTGCTTAGCTGTCTGCTTGTTGATTAACGATGGGAAGACCAGTATTTTCAAGCTACTTCTTTATTACGGGAAGGTACTTTTCGAAACCATTGGCTTATAAGTTGGAGAAGTAGACAGTGATAAAAAGACGACTCGATCGCTGGGAATATATTTTTATTCGCCTGAAGTTTCGAGATCCGTCGCGTATTCATCATCAGAGACATAAACAGAGAGCAGTAGCAGATACAGTTTTAAATACATCAAGGTGAGGCTGCACCACAAGGGAAAGGGTAAGGATGACACTGTATCCCAAATCGATTCTGTTTGCAGGGTTCATTTAATCCTTAGGAAAGCACTATGGATCCGAGACGAGAGCTCAGTCGCTGCGAAGACTCATGTGTACCATATATCCGTC